CACACCTACAGGAAAGGCTGGCCTCTCAACAAAACGAAATTTTGGGTCGATGTTTTTGAAAGAGCCGAAGTTATGGAAATACAAAAGTTCACTTCCGGAAATAGTCATCTCAAAACACTAAGGTGACGGTATGCCGTACATAGGCTCTAGATCTACATCTATATATCTAGACTCTATATCTAGAATCTAGATCTAGTCTAGAGAAGGTGATCTTATACTTTATACACTAGATTCTAGATTCTACCCTTTAAACTCTTTAACACTACATATAGATCTAGATCTAGATCTAGATCTAGATTCTAGATATCTATGCCCAGTATTCAATTTCTCTCAGTTACAAACGTCATGATATAGATCTAGATCTACGTACTTTCAGAAGGGTGGACTTATTCACTGCGTAGGGTAGCTGCGAATGACCAATATAAGCAGTCGCGGACCAACTGGCGACAGTCTTGGAGAGCGAGGTGGAACAGGGTGGTGGCAATCCTGTCTCTATAAAATACCTCATGTGCTCAGTAAAGAGATTGTCGTCAGGAGAGAGGGAGGCGCCGAAACCTGCCACCTGCCCCCACTGCCTTGTGGGTTAGTCCTTTTAGTTGGCTCCCTAACTCCACCCCCACTGCAAATTTTAGTAGGAACATGCCACTGGGCACACACGTACCTTGAACAAATCTAAGAATTTTGATAAACGGACACAAGCTCTATCTGCATAATTTCACTCTAATTTGCATAAATTAAAATGGCCGCCATTGAAAAATCAAGCAAAATGAAAATAACTTTAAATTATCATACACATCTTCGATTTTCATGAAAATGGTGTCAAAATAGATCTAGATCTATATGTTTTTGGGGATGCCTTAACGGTAACCATTGAAATAAAAATTTTGGATGTAAAAGGTCCGTTTAAAAAAAATTCATTTAATATGTTAGTCACATGATGTGATTATGAAGTATATTTTGCATATTTCTAATTGACAAGCTTGGACCTCCGCTTTCACCAGTCACCCCATCGATGATGCTTCCCCTTTTAAGGGAATCAGCTCACAGTTCAATGATGGTGTTCCATGGGATGAACATTGTTGCTGCTGTTACAAAGCAGCTGAATCCAGGACAGACCCCGGTCATGGTTGCTGATCAGCCACTTTTTACATTGGCAAAGAAATTTCCGTGGAAATTTTCAGATGTCTTGGGAGATGACAAGTTTGTGGTGACGGTTGGGGCGCTGCACACTGAGAAAATGCTGTTTGAAGTCCTAGGGGAATGGCTGGAAGGGAGTGGCTGTACATCACTTCTGTCAGTCAGTGGTGTGGCTTCAAGTGGAGGTGCTGATTATATGATGTAGGTGACACATCTGAACCGCTCTCGCTACATGCACCAAGTCACAGCTCTTGCTTTGTATAGTTTACTGAGACAAGCCTATTGTGAATACCTGACAATGACTATTGAAGATGAGCCATTGGAACTGGATGCTTGGATTAGGTATCAGCGAGACCGAGAACCGCAATTTTTGTACTGGCATCAGACTCTTGACCTGCAGCTGATGGTTCTGCAGTTTGTGAAGTTGATTCGGACTGCATCGTTTAATCTGTACTTAGTGACTTTAGAACATCTCATGCCATGGGTGTATGCTCTTGATCACATACACTATGCCTGCAATCTACTCATTCATCTACGAGATATGTGTGACCTTCGAGAAATGCATCCAACAGTTCATAAAGAGTTCATGAAGGGAAAATTCGTTGGACAGAAGACAAGTCGTGCATTTTCTAGCATTGCCTTGGACAAATTCATGAGCAGCTCATCGGTTCTCTGAAGGATGATTGAGGAATAATTGGATCCTGTAGCCCTTGACAGATTTATGATTACTGGACCAGAACTTGCTCGCATCATTGAGGAGTTCGAAAACACACCTCAAAACAGTCATAAAGCACCATGAACAGTATCCTAAATGTCGTGAGACTTTCAGAGAAGATGTGAATGGCTTAATCAGTGCATTCTCTGATGTGGAAATTCTTTCCTTGATGAAGTATCTGGGCAATTGATTTCTCTTGACAGGTCCAGAATCATGACAGGTGATGTTATGAGCTCTGTGAGAAACATCACAAAAATTGGAAAAGACAAGTATGA